GGAAGTGAAGGTGGGAGTAGGATTTGAAAGTTTTGTAGGAGGGTATGTATGTAGAGGATTTGGAAAGAGTTGGTGGAGATAGGCTGGAAAGGTATGTGTAGAGTGCATGGGATGAATAGAGAGGGGAGGGGAGTAAGGTGGAAGTAATGATGATGGTGTTGCCAGGGACAGGTGAGTGAAAGGATAGGGATATTTTAGTAATGACAGAAGTTAGTGTTAAAGTGAAAAATAGAAGGGAGAACATTAGAGAAAATGTGTATTATATAGATATGTAGATCATATATATAAACACACACAAATATCAATGAGGGTTTAAATCATTGTAAGGATGCAGTGTGTTAAATGAATTCAGGTGAGGAGTGGTTTAATGACTTGATTGGTGTGTTATGGAAGCCTGCTGATGTGCACTATCTATAAATAAGTTGATGACCATGGGGTGGGATGGTGCGGGGAGGGTGGGCAATCTTCCAGAGATAATACCTCTGCTCTGAAGATTCAGCAGGACTTGGTTGCTTGGGAGTGCTGGGTGTTAATGCTGTTTTAAGGGGCCCAGTCTGAAATATAAGGTCTGAGGTTAGAAAAAAAAAAAATGAAATAAAACGCCTATAATTTCCCCCATGTTGTCTATCCTATTTGCACAACGGCATGTGAAATTGATTGTCACTCAGTGTTGCTTCCTAAGTGGACAGTTTGATTTCACAGAAGTGTGATTGACTTGTAATTACATTGTGTTGTTTAAGTGTTCCCTTTATTTTTTTGAGCAGAGTATAATGAGGAAAATGGATTTTGCGAAAAGAAGAAATGTGACTGACCAACACCAAAACTACAAGGGGAACATAATGTATGTCATAGAATAAGTAGAAAGCTAAGGACAGAACAATGGAGGAAGGGCAGAAAAGGGACAGTAAAAAGAGGATAGATAGATAGATAGATAGATAGAAACAGATACGTAGACAGACAGACAGACAGATAGATATAGATATATATATATAGATGTGTAGACAGACAGACAGATAGATAGATTGATAAATATATAGAAACATATAGAAACAGATACGCAGACAGACAGACAGACAGACAGACAGATAGATAGATAGATAGATAGATAGATAGATAGATAGAGAGATAGATAGATAGAAACAGATACGTAGACAGATAGATAGATAGATAGACAGACAGACAGACAGATAGATAGATAGATAGATAGATAGATAGATAGATAGATAGATCGACCAACACAGACAGACAGATAGATAGATAGATAGATAGATAGATAGATAGATAGATAGATAGATAGATATACAGGGTGTCCCAAAAAAATGAATGCACACCTAAACAGCTGCTTTACGTTATCAGCAGACCAATTAGCTCTGATGAAAGCTCCTGGTTTTGAGCTGAAACGTAGAAGTTTTTAGCATGATATAAATAAAAGCTACGTTTTAATGGAGTGCAATCCACAGTTGTTTTGTTATTTTTCTGACAGATTTGCACCGGACATTAGTTTATATTTTTTCCTGGAGTGCAAGTTACCGAGTACTCTATACACACACATACTTACAAAGCTACAAATGAATACATGTGCATACATACATGTACACATCATACATGCGTTAAAAAGTAATCATTTAAAAAATTTAAATAAACATGCATGGAATTTACTAGATCAGTGTTTGAATGAATAGATTATGAATGGGGGCAGTTGATTTAATTTTGGCAGATGGTCTGCAAGATGGAGACCTATGTAGTTTAACGTGATAATCGTCTTTGCATGGAACTTTTCAATGTTACACCAATACTTACAGTACATGTAATTATTAATCATTTGCCAGATTGCAGTGGACTGTCAAACCTTTCAATTTTAACAACAAACGCTTGCTTTATCCTCCCTCTTGCTTGGTCCATTGCCTATCCCCACTACAAGTAAATATGCTCACTTATTTGTTTTTCTCTGTAGTCCTGCTCAGAGTCCTACCATCCAACAGATCACTTAACAGAAAAAAAGATACACTTCATTTCAATAATATAATTATACAAAACACACTATCATAGCAATCACAACTTCCCAGCCATTTTTACTGGAACATTGTGGTTGCTATTACTGAAATCTAGATTGTATGCTTTACCCGCGAGTGTGTTTTCTATGTATGGTAGGAATCTTTGCAAGCAGTCATTATTATTGGCTAGTAGGTGAAAAAAAATACTGACAAGGTTGACAATAGTAGCCAAAACTAAATACTGCCTGTTGCTGATGGCTACAGCTTCCCACTGCTATTTACTGACAAGGGCATCTATTTAATATTTTTGGAGAAGCATTTTAAATTATTGAATTTTTTGTGATACATTTTTAAATTATTTAATATTTTGAAAAATATTTTAATACTTTGATAGTTTTTGATATATTAGCATCTCTTTTTATTTTATTTTATTATTTTTTTTGCAATTCTTTATTTTGCGTGCAAGGTTAGTTACAATACTACCCATATGGCCACAACAGCCTTCCGGGTTTTCGAATGTTTCATGACATCACAACATAGTTTAGGCATACATAGCAGTCTGTCGATTCTAATCTGTGGTGTCAGCTAGTTCTGCACATTTTAATATAATTTATGGATCAGTTGGTGTCAAACTGAGGCAACATTGGAGTAATTTTGAGGAGTGTGTCTTTTTCCCCTCCAGTGCCAGGATTGTAGTAGTGTGGGGGGGTAAAGAACCCGAGGGTCGTCTGTTTGGAGTTGGCTGGTTGCGTGTTTGTGCCCCCTTACATGTTCCCTGATGGGGTTAATTGCGTGTGCGAATGGTTGTCCTCAGTGACGCTTGTGTCCACAGGCGAGTGCTGTGAAGTCCGCGTGTGTCAGCGTGTGTCTGTTTGCGTATAGGTATACGTGTGTACAGGGGTTGTCTCTCATTGAGCCTATGTGTGCCTCTGCGATCCAGTCCAGTGGGTCCAGTCCAGTGACTCCTTACCGAGGAGGTCGTGGGGGGGGATGGGAGGAGGTGTATTCTCCCTGGAGCTTTTGGTGTATGTGTCAGGGTGAGTCTTGTCTGGTGTTGTGTCAGCAGCAGTTATGGTGTAGCGTGAGTTAGTCTTGTAGGTGCATATGTTACAGTAATACATTGATAAAAATAAACAGTGAAACAACAGGTGAAACCAAAGGTTAAACAGAAGGCAAGACAGGAACCGGTTAATGCATTGTATGCTTGTTGGCTACAATTTTTACAGTTCAGATCAGTTCTCTCCGGTGTTCTCTATTCCTGGGGATGAATGGAGAACATCTCTTTTTATAAATGACATATTTTTTTGAGAATTTAATATTTTTGGGGTAATTTTTTTTTTTTTATAAGTTTGTATAAAATTATTAAATCATTCCCAAAAAAATATTAAATTGAATCTAAGGTTGGTAAATCTAAGGTGGATTATGTAATTGAATTTTAACTTTTCAAAAAGATTATCTTTCCTTTATCCTTTAAACTCTCAAAATTATATAATATAACAAAATAATCTTGCCTATGTTTTTAAATCACCATTTTTCAGCATCATTTTAATTAGGATCAGAGCAGCATATTATCTAGATTTATAATTGTCTCGTAATGTATGGATTGTTTTTATAATAATATTTTCAACGGCTTGATGACCATACTGTCTATATGTTTATTATCTCATATTACATAGTACATTTTTCGACATTGTTGTGGATGATTTTTTTTCTGTACCCTTTTCCTTAGTTTATTACCCCCAGGAGATTTATTTCATTATAGTTTGAAAAATGTTCAATAAAAATAATTTGAAAAGAAATGATGTTGTTGATAACATACATTTATGAATTAAATTACTATTTAGAAAGGACATTTAATAACATTACTTTTCCCAACTCCTACTAATCACCTTCTAATAGCTTTTCTGACTGAATATATATGGTGCTAGTAACACATAATCATTATACACTCACAATCACAGACATACACAGACACACAATCACAGACACACATAATTACAAACATACACACACACAGTCATAGACACATTCATGTACACACAATGTTTTATTTATTTAGAGGTCTACCCAGCTTCTCTACATGTGCCTTGGAGAGCTGGAGTAGATCCTCTCTCTGGTGGCCAGTGGGGCTGCTGGGGTCACTGAATTCTTCCTATACAGCGCTCATGTGCTCCCTGCAGTGGCCATGCAAGGGAGCTGAGCAGGAAGAGCACAGTAGGTTCCTCCCTACCTCCCACCCAAGACCAGACATTAATATATTGGGGCATACTAGGCACCTGAGTGGCTGCCTGTATAGTAAAGCCACAAGCGGCGGTCATGCCCTGAGCTCTTGCTACACAAGTGACCGAATGGAAGCACCGGCCCTGAATCTACCTGCCACTCTGTTAGTAATCCAAACCCCATATATGAACACCTCTATAAAACTCATTTAATTTCACCTGCTTAGACAATTCATCATTTCCTTCTATTAGTTCCAGAATAAAATTTATGGCCTTAATCCAAACATGCAACGGCCATCACTTACAATTTCTTTTTATGTCTGCTTCAATTAAGTCCTAAAAATGACAACCAAGCAGTCCTAAAATTTAAACCTATATCATACACTTTTACTTAAAACAAGGGATGTAGGGAAGCAGCGCTTTACAATTGAAATCCTTGTGTGGGGTCCAATGGAGCCAATATAAGGGAGAAAACAAACTTTTACTTAAGATGGTAATATTACATGATTTAGAGCAGGAATAGGTAACAGTTAGTGTTTGAGCTGAGCTATGTCTCCTGGGAACTTTACCAATGATATATCTAAATCGTTTCTGGCTGAACATTACGGGAGTGGAAGTTCAATAGAATGCCGAAGAGCCATTTGTTAGTTATCCCTTATTTAGATGTTTTCATAGAGTATAAACATAGCTGTGACTTTACAAAAGTTACTCCAAAGAAACGTTTTACTTGAAATCACATTTTATTAGTTGTTTCATTGTGAACATGCAGTTTTAAGTGCGAGTGCATTTAGTTGTGATATTCGTGGCTCAGACCATCCACAACAACTGCAAAGAATTTCTCAACAGCAGCCTGGACTGGTGGACTGAAGGAGGATCCTAATTTTCCAGCCAGAACAATCACGAACACTTCACCAAAACGCTGCAAAAGAAAGAAAATTCATTAATATTCTTTCATTTTGAATTGAATTTCACTGAAATGTTAGTTTCAGTAAGTAAAATTAATCAGGCAACTGAGCCTTAACTTCAAAATGCGGGTTTTTTTTTAACCCCTTAAGGACACATGACATGTGTGACATGTCATGATTCCCTTTTATTCCAGAAGTTTGGTCCTTAAGGGGTTAAAAAAGGGGATATAATAGCATATATAAAATTCATAAAAAATTTTTTTTTAATTATATCACAGTGATAAAAATTATTTGGGTAAATAAGACCTACTTACAATGCTATCTTCAGTTAATATTTAAGTGACAACTGTCATCTAATTTTCTCTTCTTTTAAAAGTTATACAAGTGTTCATTTTTAGTACAATATTTTATTTTATCTTTTATGTATATTGATTTTTTTTTTTAAATAAACTTTTTTATCTGGTTGAGTGTTTGCTCAGATTCCACTGTTATCTGATCAACTGCTGCTCAAACAAACTTACCTGCTGTGGACCAGCAGGTAAGTATCACCAAGCAGAATTTGGTAGGATAACAATAAAATCCGATCCCACCTGGCTGCTCGTCCAGACAAAAAAAAAAGCGATATTTTCTTAAAAAAAACATCAATACACACATATATATATATATATATATATATTAAAAAATAACTTAAGTTTCATTAACTATAATAAACATTTGAAAAAGTGAAAATGTGATGACAGTTGTCCTTTAATATTTTAATTAGGAAATGCATTGGATTTTAATTACACTAACCGGGTATCCCGGGTATAAAAATATATAAGTTAGTTAAAAAAAAATATCAAAGCTTGTGGGGCATAAATGAAATGAGTGCAACTCCTCACCCACTAGTGAACTACAACTCCCCATGATGCTTGAGGTTGGCTAGACAACATGGAAGCTGAAATTTAGTATTTTACAAGAAATTCCTCAAATGTAAATTGGAGACATAGTGGAAACCACCATTAATCTTAAATGTTATCCACTTTAATTGGGCCAGTGGGAGAGAATAACTGTTCATAACTACTAAAATACGTCTTATTTGAGAATGACCATAGTTATATAGAATATAATAATAATAATAATAATAAATACATACCCTGAAGTTTTCTGGATCCACATGCAGACGGTGGGCATGGCTGTCACTGAGGTCGTGGAGAGTGGCCTTAACGGTATCCAAGTGGTGGGCGGCATTGTCCAGAGCTCCCAGGACCTTCTTGCCGTGGGCCTGTACCTTGGCATTTCCAGCAATTGCAGCTGCGTTGGACAGGTTTCCGAAAGAACTGAAATACCTCTGGGTCCAGGGGTAGACCAGAAGAAGCCTATTAAGTGAGAAACACAATTTAAAAATATGATAATACATAAAATAAAATAATCTAGTTTGGGGAAGGGAAAGCCAAGGAAAACATTGCAAACAAAGTGGAAAAAACAGAAACATTGTTTCATTTTCTGTATGCTTTGACTATGCTGACCGCCAGTTGCCAAGTGCAGAGCTTATAGCAATGACTAACAAGGAGCTAAGATGGCAGCACCCAGTTGCAGTATAAAGAGGTGTAGATTTCTATATGTAATTTTATATTTTCACACCTCACAAATACATAATTGTAAAATATAGGCATAAGTAGACATAATCAGGGTTATTTGATAAAATGAGAAATTAATTTTAAATCCACTTTAAATTCCCTGAATAATTAAAAGTGCTGGGAATTGATGGTTCCTCTTTAAATCTTAAAAAAATTAAAAATAAATAAAATTTAGTAAAATGCTAAACTAGAGAATGTCCCTCAAAAGTACTACTTTGAAATCATGTTAAAGGTACGTTTTCAGCACATTATAGCAGGGATATTGACTAAACCGTGAGTGATTAAAATGTTCGAATTACCTTCCTAGGGCATCTCCACCATCATGCTCAAGATCAACTTTCTTCCATACGGCGTTGATAGAGGCCTTCTCTTCGGCTGTCCAGTGAACCATGGTGGCTGTTAGAGGGATGAGTAGCTGAGGCTTCAGATAGAAGAAGTAAAAGGTACTGAGACACCACGATTTACATCCAAGATTTTATAGAAAAATAAACAGAATGGAACGCCCATTGTAATTTGCTTTGTCACACTTTTTTTTCTGCATTTGACACGAGTCCTAACAGATAAGAGAAACAATATGACTGACATTGCTATTCAGAATCGTATCTGATTATGCTGATCTCATGAGTTTGTACAACGAGATGCACAGAAGCAGAAAGCAGATAAGAAAATAGAAGTCAGTTATAATAGATATTATAACAGTTCATTTTCTAGCTTTAGAGTATATATTTTAAAAACAGAATGCTATTCAGTGGCTGTTAAGAAACAAATTGAGTAAGAAATATTGGGTGATTCATGTAGAAGCAAAACTGCATCGATGAACAAAAATATTAACAAATGTTAACAAAAATATATATACTAATAATTGTTTGGCTCACTTTACAATCAACCCAAGACAACATCTTCCATTTTTTTTGGAACTAATTTCAATCACATATGTGTTGGTTTACAGCATTGACAGATCTGGGCGGTGGGTGCACCATGGTAAATGCTCCCCTACAAAGCTCCCCCATTAGCAGGAAGCTAATTGAATGGTAACCTAATCTCTGTCCCAAGATGCCAGCATCCAAGTTATTAAAATTGCCAGGGTCACCATTTCTTTATATATGCTGCACATGCAGGCGAAAGGAGGCATTTAATTGATTTGTTAGACAGGAAGGAGGACATAATTGTCAGTGCCAAAGCAGAAGAGGCATGCCTAGATGGATATAGCTATTTATCACTGTATGTGTTTTTTGATTTTTTTTATAAATTAGTACATCTGTATTTGTGTGGATGAATGAATCTACCTTTTAGAATTTGTCACAAAATCCAGCAATGCTCCTTCTGAGCTTCGGCTCTGGGTCCTCCCTAGTTTAAAGGAAAATTGTCATCATCATTTTTTAATTTTTTTTAATGTTTATTTTTTTATTAAGTATCCATATAAAAACAGGGACACAATATGTAATTATTAACACTTGCCATACAAAATTCCATCCGCAAAGCGTACATGTAACAATACACGACGACCAGATCATAAACCAGCATACTTAATTGGTTTACCCTGTAGGCAAGATACAAATAGACAATAAACGTAGACAAACATTGGACAAACAAAATGGTCAAAACAATTTTTTTTTATTTATTTTTTTTCATTTCAGACATTACCAGCCTCTTATATTCTTTCCAGCTTTGCATCTCAGGCATTGGTGTATTAGTCATCATCAATGTTTTCTCTCTCCTCTTTTTCCTGTTTAAATGACTTTAATTTATAAAAAACATTAATATTATTAATTAACAAAGAGAAAACTAAAACATAGAACAGACATACACAACATTCATACATGATGATGAAACCCTCTTCCCTAGTCTCTCTGCATTGCTATTCATAGTACTAATATATGAGCTAGCATTTCTTTTTTCTTTTCCCTTTTTTTCTCCCTTCTTTTCCTTCCTTCCTTTTTTTTCTTTCTTTACCTTCCCATTCTTCATTTTTCTTCCCTTTTTCCTTCTTCTTTCCTCTTCCCCCTCCCCTTTCTTTCCTTTTCCCCTTTTTCTCCGCTCTCTTCCCTTTTTCTTTCCTTCCTCTTCTATGTATATTATTCTACTGCCAACAGTTTTTTTAACCACTTATTTATGTGAAATAGATTTTTTTTTCTTCAGATTTCTGTTCAAACCTCCCTCCATCCTAAGTTGCGAAATTAGTAGTTTTTTTACTATGCCCCAGTTTGGTAGAGTTTTAGTTCTCCACCTTCTAGCTATGGAAATCTTCTCTGCTATTAATGCGTGGGTAAAAAAATGTTGCAAATCTACATTATACTGATAAATATTTAAGTGTAATATAAACATTTCCGGGGAAAGGGGAAAATTAAATCCGGTTACCATTTCCATTTTAGACAAGAACACTTTCCCAAATTCTTTAAGTGGGGGGCAGCTCCACCAAAAATGTACACAATCTCCCACTCCCCCTTCACATCTCCAGCATATATCTGTTTTACTCTGGTCTATTTTATTTAGACGGCTAGGAACCAAATAGAGTCTGTTAATGATCTTAAAATGTAGTTCCACTAAATTTAGGCATTTAATGCGCCTAACAACTGTCAACCATGCTCTATTCCAGTCCTGTCCATCAATTATTTGTATTTTTAGAACTTTCTTCCATTTTTTTATCGCCGGAAACGTCAAGTCACCCTCTAGTTGTTTCAATACCGAGTTACATTTATTTAATACATTTTTCATGTCCTTTCCTTTCAATAAATTTCCTAATTTATTATTAAATTCCCATTTCTCTTTATTTAGAGTTTTATTCAGATAGCTTTTAATCCTTGTATAATTAAATTTCTCAATTTCCAGGAGACTAAAATTAGTACATATTTGTTCAAACGAATTAACCCTGGGTCCTGTTGTTATATCTTCTATAGTTTGTATGCCTGCTCTTCTCCAATTATTTAGTCTTAGGTCTTGCATATTATTTTCCAATATTGAGATCGGTAGGGTATTAATAATGTGATTTTTAAATCCTGCGCTTTTTTTTAAATCTTACTCCACATTCCTCTAATTGACTCAATTACCACACTATCAGAACTTGGTTGGGTCTTATTTGTGTCTCCTTCTTGAGTAAACCAGAAAAGTGTTACTAGATCCCTACCATCTGCAAGTTCCTTTTCCACCGCATACCACCTTTTTAGCTTAGCCCCAGCCAATTGTGAGATGATACTATGGAAAAGGATACTCGCTTTATGGTATTGTTGTATAAGTGGGAATCCTACCCCTCCCTTAGATTGATTGATCGAGAGGAGTTTTCTTGCCATTCTAGGTTTTTTTGCTTGCCATATGAACTTAGACCAGGCCTGTTGTATTAATAGCAGCCAACTATCAGGGACACTCAGGGGGATCATTCTAAACAAATACAGCCATTTTGGTAAGATGTAAGACTTAATAATATTAATACGGCCCCACCACGAGAATTCTAAATTCTTCCAACCCTTTAGGAGTTTATTCATTTTAATAAGCAATGGGAGAAAATTGATCTCTACTATTTTCAGTGGATCAGCACAGATATTAATTCCTAAATAATTAAATGATTTTACAACCCATACGAAATTAAATTTCTTCATAATCTAATTTTTTTCTTCTTTATTTACATTTACAGCTAAGATAGATGATTTTTCTATATTTATTTTGTATCCAGAAACATGGGAAAATCTCCCAATTGTTTCCATGAGTCGTATTATAGATTGTAGAGGTTTTTGTATTGTTAAGATGACGTCATCAGCGTATAAATTAATTTTTATATTTTCTTTATTAAAATCAAAACCTACTATCTTCTGCTCTTGTCTTATGGCTAAAGCCAAAGGTTCTAATGCCATGATATAAAGTAACGGAAACAAGGGACACCCTTGTCTTGTTCCGTTTAGCAATGAGAACCATTCAGATCCAAAGCCATTTCCTACAACTCTAGCCGTAGGTACTGTATAAAGAGCTGAGATATTCTGAAAAAGTCTTCCCTCTAATCCAAATGCCTGAAGGGTTTGCCTCATGAACTCCCAGTTGACTCTGTCAAATGCTTTTTCTTCATCTAAAGACAGGGCCAACATGGAAGCCCCCGTTCTTGTCGCATGGTTCAAAACATCAATTAGTCTTCTTATATTATGGGTAGATGATCTACCAGGGACAAACCCCACCTGGTCCCTATCTATCACGTCTGGTATAATCCTTTTTAAACGTTCTGCTATCATAGCCGAATAGAGCTTTATATCGGTATTTTGGAGGGAAATTGGGTGGTAGTTCTTGATTTTTTCTATATCTTTTTCTTGCTTAGGAATTGGGACTATATTCGCTTGCAGTAATTCTGCTGGGATCTTTTCGGTTGTACCAAAGGAGTTAAAAACTTCAATCAAATCCGTTTTGATATTGTTTTTCAATCATTTATAGAAGAGGTTATCAAACCCATCAAGTCCTGGTTATGTATTAAGTTTATTAATACAGAAGATCAATTCATCCTCCTTGAATACTTTAGTCAATTCTTGTAGTTGTATATCTGTGATTTTCAGGATTTTAATAGTTTTTAAGAACTCTCTGATATCTAATTTATTTATTTGACTCGAAATGTTGTATAAATCATAATAATATTTTTTTAAAGTTTCTCCTATTTTTTCTGGGTTTAGTAAGGTTTCCCCATTTTAGTAATGACCTTTTTAACTCTTTCTTTCTTTAGTCTATTTGTCATCAGTGCTTCTGCTCTGTTTCCCATGTAATACCATTTTTGTTTCATGCCTATTAAGGCCTTATTGGCTTTTGCCATCAGTTGGTCATTTATTAGTTTTTCTACTTCTGTTATTGTATTGGTAATATTATTCGAGGGGTTTCTTTTATTTTGATACAGTAGGTCGTCCAACCTTATATAGCCCTTTTCTCATTCAGCTTACTTTCTTTGACTGTTAGGCTTATAAGGTGGCCCCTTATAACCGATTTAAATGAGCACCAAGTCATTGCTGGGTAGACCTCATTATTTCTATTCTCTAGGAAGAAAAGGTCTGTCATCTCTTTAATATACTTAAGATTGTTTTCATTTCTCATTATCCAGTCCTTCATTCTCCATTCTGTTCTGGGTCTCTCAAACTGTTCTTTTAATTCTAGTATAATTGGGCTATGATCAGACCACGTTGTGGTTGTTATAAAGATTTTTTTAACCTGTTTCACTAAATTTCTATCCCCCAAAATTAGATCAATTCGAGAGTATGTTCTAAAATGTTTTAAAGAAGCATGAAAAATCTCTTTCTTTTACATGGAATATCCTCCAATAATCTAACAGTTCATTTTGTTTGACTAATTCAGAAAAAAATGTCCTGTTATTTTTTACCTTCTTATAGTTATTGCCTTTTAATTTGGGACTCTTATCCAAATCTGCGTCCAAGACGCAGTTAAAGTCTCCAATAACAATGACTCGACCAGTTTTAACACGGTCAATTCTATTAAATATTTTTCTAATAAATGGAATTTGTGCCTGGTTCTGGGCATAAATATTAACTAATGTATATTTTTGGTTGTTAATTTCACACACTAAAATTATGTATCCACCTTCTGTATCAAGTTCTTGGTGAACAATTTTCAAAGAGACATTCTTCGAAAACAAAAAAGCTACCCCTCTTTTTTTTTTTTGGCTTACAGAGGCATTAATTATCGTGGGAGATAGCTTGGACTTAAGTTTTCTTCTGATTTCCAGTGTGTTTCCTGTATGGCCACAATATGTATTTGCTCCTTCCTCAAAAATTCAAGAATTGTATATCTTTTAAATTGCGAATTGATTCCTTGTGCATTAATTGTTGCAAATCTCATATTATCTTCCTATTCTTATTTTTTCTGCAGGGAGTCTAGGAGGACCATCATCTTAACATGCAAACATTTACATCCACACATCTCTATACATTTTCTGCCTTTACTTAGGCCTCGATCAATGTATCTCTCCTCCCTCCTATCTTTCTCCAACCCCAGGTATCCCATAATCCTAGGGAGAAAGATCAAATGGCGACAATATCCCTCTTGCGAGAGTCGCTTATAACCCCTTCTTTAGACTCACAAGATTACCAGCAATCCGTGAGCTAAAGTATTCTCCTGGCCAGGAGAAATGTGTCTATAAGAAGAGGGGGAAAAAAAAGGCCAATTATTCTTTCTAAGTCTAAATTTGTTTCCCTTCATCCCTTTATTCATCAATCTAATCTGTGTTATTTTGGCCTCTTTGCTATATCAAATTTCCTTTTCTTTCCTTCTTGTGACAGATATCAATTACATTACCGTCTATATATTAATTTACCATTGTGTTTTTCAACTCCTGTGTTTAAGGCTCCCAAGAGGAGGAAGAAAATAAATAAATAAATGTCTTTTTAAATTAATTTAATCTTTCTATATCTATGTTTCTATATTTCTTTCCCTTCTTTATTTTATTCATCAATGATATCTATAGTGTTTTAACTTCTTTTCTTTATCAAGAACTTTTCCTTACTATGACAAATAATGATTAGATAAGTGCCTATATGGTGATTTACTACCGTGTTTTTCATTTCCTATACTTAGAATTCACACAAAAAAAAAAAATAAGTAAATAAATAAATAAAAATAATAATAATAATAATAAATAAATTTTAAAAAGATATTCTTTTAATTCCAGTTATTCTTTTTTATCTAAATTTGTTTTTCCTTTCATCCCCTTGGTCATCCAGCTTATCTGTGATATTTTGACCTCTTCTCTTTATCAAATTTCCTTTTTCTTGCCTTCTCAAGACAGACATCAATTAAATTAGTGCCTGTATATTAATTTACCATTGTGTTTTCCAATTCCTGTGTTTAGGACTCCCAAAAGGGAAAAGAAAAAATAGATATATAAATGTCTATTTAAGTTCAATTATTCTTTCTAAATCTATATTTCTGTATTTATTTCCCTTCGTTTTTTATTCAGTCAATCATATCTATGGTGTTTTAACTTCTTTTGTCAGAATTATTTTTCTTACTGTGTTTTTCATTTCCTGTGCTAAAAAAAAAAAGAAATTCCCTTCCTTTCCTATATTATGTTCTTTTCTTGCATCCATTTTTTTTAATGTTTGCGGTTTTTCAAAGGTTAACCTCTGATTGTCGTAGGCTAGGTTTATGCGTGTCGGGAACCCCCATGCATATTTAGTTTCTTTTTCCCTCAGTATCGCTGTCTGTATTTCAAAAGATTTTCTTTGAGCTCTCGTCTGGAAAGAAAGATCTTGGAAGATCTTAATTTGTTGGTATGCTGAATCTTTTAGGTCTTTGACCGAAATAGCTTTCATAATTTGCGTCTTGACCCAGTATGACCGTAGGCAGATAAGCACATCTCTTGGGGATTGGTCTGTGACCATGCTAGGCTTTATTGTTCTATGGCATCTTTCCATGAAATTATTTTCTGTGTCCAGGTCAATCCCCAGAAACTTAAAAAGTTCCTCACAATAGCCTTCCAATTTTGTGTGTACAATGCTCTCCGGTATCCCCCTAAGTCTGAGATTATTTCTTCTGGATCTATCTTCTAGATCACCGATCTTCTCCTTTATATTTTCCAGTTTTCTTTCCAAGATATTTATTTTGTCAGTATTGTTCTTTTGTTGCATATCAATTTGATCTGTTTTATCTTCTAGTTCTTCCAGTCTTCTCCCTATATTCTGGACTTCTTTTTTGATTTCCATTGAATGCATACTTATTTCTTCCTTTATTTTCTCTAGTTGGACTTCTAGGCATTTAGCCAAATATTCAGCCGAGATAGAAACACTTTCATTCCATGAATTCTCAGATATTTTGTTTATCTCCGCTTCCTTAGTGTCAAGTAGTGGTAGTGATTCTTCATGTATTGATTTAGGATTTTTTCCCTTATTTAATTGCGGAGAAAAAAAAACAGAGGCTCTTCTTTCTGTTGCTCTTTCGTTATTGTGTACAAAATAATACCTTGCATTTTAAAAGACCATCGCCGCTCTGCCACTTCTGTTCCTGAGCTCATGTCCAAAGCTCATTGTTCTGAGTGAATTTTTTTTTTTTTACAATTCTCTTGAGGTTGATTGGTGGGAGTAGAGCTAAAGTGCATTGCCCGGTAAAGCACCGCATTATCTTTTTACCATACTTTCAGGGATTTATATATAATGTAAGTGTGATTGACTGACCATCTTCCACACAGCCACCTCTGTCTAGAGGCTGACGTCCAAAGCTTGCTACCGTGGTTTTTCTAACTTCAAGTAATTAAAATGTTAATTTACAATATCCCCCTTTTAAGGGTTGTTAGTTGAAGTGTACCGCTCAAGGCCGGCGCTACTTGTTAGGCGGACTAGGCAGCCACCTAGGGCGCCCCTTGGGAGGGGGTGCCGCCAGGAACGCCGCCCCCCCCCCATGCTGCAGCCGCCCGAGCGCTCTGTAGAGAGGCTCAGGCGGCTGCAGCTTTGCCCGCCCGGGCGCAGCCTGAGGAGAGGGGCTGACAGGAGGGAGCACTCAGCGCTCAGTGCTCCCTCACTGTAGCGTGGCCGAGCCCTCTATGGTCCGCGGGTACAGGAAACAAAAGCTCCCTGTACCAGCGGACCATAGAGGGCTCAGCCACGCTACAACAGAGGTAGGGGAGGGTGGGAAACAGACAGGGGGGGGAGAGGGAATAAATTGAAGGGGGGAATAAATTGAAATGGAGGGTAGGGAATAAATTGAAAGGGGGGTGGGGAATAAATTGAAAAGGGGGAATACATTGAAAGGAGGGTAGGGAATAAATTGAAAGGGGGTGGGGAATAAATTGAAAGGGAGGGGAGGATAAATTGACAGGGAGTGGGAATAAATTGACGGGGGGAATAAATTGACAGGGAGGGTGGGGGGAATAAATTGAAAGGGAGGGTGGGGAATAAATTGAAAGGGGGGAATAAATTGACAGGGAGGGTGGGGGGAATAAATTGAAAGGGAGGGAGGGAACAAATTGAAAGGAGGGGAATTGACGGGGAGGGAGGGGGAATGAGAGTGGGAGGGGAGAAGAGAGGGACAAGCAGGGGAGAAGAGAGTGACAAGGGAGGGGGGGAGAAGAAAGGGACAAGCGGGGGAAAAGAGAGTAACAAGGGAGGGGGGAGAGATTGACATCCATCACACAAACACACACACAATGCACCCCTTACACACAAAGACAATGCACCCCTTGCACACAGAAAAACACACAGACACACACACACAAGCAATGCAACCCTTACACACAATGCATCCCTTACACACACAGAAACACACAATGTATTCCTTACACACACTCAATGCACCCCTTACACACACTGCATCCCGTACAGACGCACACACTGCATCCCGTACATACACAGAAACACACCTTGCAGCCCTTACACATACAAACACAGATTCACACAATGCATTCCTTACACACATATCAGGACATCCCCCTACTCCACCCCCTGTGAACAAACTCATTGGTGGAACATGAAGGTGGACCCTGGGACCCAGACCTTGAGCTGTGTAAAGGGCCTTAAAAAAATGGAGCTGCTTCCCGTTCTCCCAGAACATTGATTTTTGTGACCACAGTTACAAACAGCCTCCAGAGAGCCTGTTCAACACCAGACCAATGGAGCCAGACTGCAGCTAGAGCCCATCATCATCCTCAGCTGGTTGTAAGTAGGCAATCTAGTATATTATTCGTGGCACTAATCTCTAATTTACCTCACATTAAAAACACTATAGTCCCCAGAACCACTTCAGCTTAATGTAGTGGTTCTGGTGTCTATAGCTTGTCCCTGTAGGCCTTTTAATGTAAATACGGCGGCACTGCAGCACTGGCGTTAGTTAACATGGCAGATCATACGGGTGGGGCATTGTGATGTCACATGGGGGTGGGGGGGCAGCAAACTTTACTTTTGCCTAGGGCGGCAAAAATCCTTGCACTGGCCCTGGTACCGCTGCAGTGCTTCACCCAGTAAAGCACTGCCATATTTTGTTACATATTTTGCAGGGACCTAATAAAAGTGCTTGCCCTACTACCTGCCTTTGTCGCTGGGCCACAGCTGTACTGAGGCTCTCATCTATAGGCTGCTGCTGCCAGTGTCACTGTTCTGAGTGAACCTCCTTTTTGCCAGACTGCCACCTCTGCCCCTGGGTGGGCGTGTGTCCAAATGCTGCTGTAGCTATTCTGAGTGAAAAATTAAAATGTGCCACTTTAGGGTTTGTGGGGACTGGACTTGGCGCAGCAGTAACATGACCAGTCTCACACTAGGATCAATAATTTAGACTATTTATTTCCCACTCAGAGTTGGTGTAAATTAAGTAGCCATGGTCAGACACAACAGTAGCTGAACTAGGGAACCTCTCATACTTTTTTTTTTTCAACTTGTATTTTATTGAAGTTTTAAATGGGGGTACAGAAAGGAAAAAAAGAGGGCGGTGGGGGAATGTACAGCAAACACATATTATCACACATTATATATATTTCTACAAGTATACAAGGGTGTGTTATTGTTATCGCAGGTTCATTCTCCATTGTCTGGGTATATTGATTACAGGTTATCGATAAACAAGGAATGTCAATATTAATATTAAAATTAAGATTAAAATTAAAATTAAAAGGCAGACAAGGAATAGAGAATATCAACATTAATAGATGTCACTCAGATCTTTAGTTTATTAATATACTAATCTGCTGATCTAATCTCTCTTATTGCAATGTCATTGGTGATCCTGTATTCCTTTAACATTTACCTTCCGTGCTTATTAGTAATTATCCACAGATGACACCTTCCTTCTCGTTTTAATTATATAGCATGGACTGTGTCTATAATTCAACATTAGGGATGTAAAGATATGGATTAAGCTAACGTGTTCTTTTGGTTATACTGATAGCTTTATCACTATTCTTGGAACATTTCCTTGTATATGCTCATTTATCTCGCGTGTATGTGTCGTGATTAGTTATCTTGTGTCATATAAAGAAAGGTGGATACATGTTTTCCTCACTTCTTAGTTTGGCGGCAGAGTGTTACACAACCCCATCTTTATTTCTAGCTCTTTCCACCTCTGCCAATTCTGCTTTGCTATAAAAGACTGTTTCGGTGTACTAGCTGATAATATTTCATATCTGAGAAATTGTCTTATTTTGTGCCATATCAATATGGGAGTTGGGCATCCAGATTTTCTCCAGTGACATGCTGTCACATTCCTTGTGGCCAGGATTGTCATCACTAGTATGTGGTTGTCAGCATGGGGTAGAGTGCCCGGGAGTAATAGAAAAAGAGCAAATTTAGGGGTGATCGGAGGGAGATTGATTTCCAGTTGTTCACATATTTTTTGTGTCTCTTCCCACAATGGTTTTATATCTGGGCAGTCCCACCATATATGAGTCATTGTTCCTCTATCTCTGTCGCATCTCCAACAGGTAGGTGGGATCTGGGGGTATATTTTGTGAATTTTGTCAGGTGTATAATACCATCTGTAGACAAGCTTTTTATGGGCTTCAACATGGGAATGGCAAGTCGTGATGCCTTTTAGGGCATGGAGCGAGGTCAACCATTGTTTGTCTGTGGGATATTGAGTGCATTCTTCCTTCCATTGTGCTTGATACTTATATTCTGGGTGTGTTATTTGATTTTTTAGTGTGGTATAACATACTGTGAGGGTTTTATTTTTGACCGGTGTATTATAACACCGATTGCATATGAGTATGCGGTGGTGGTCATTTGCACCTGTTTCTGATTGAGTGTGCGCCACTTTGTTGGAAATTAAACTCTTCAGTTGGATATAAGGGAAGATGAATGATGAGGGTAGATGATATTTTGTTTGCAGTTCCGGGAACGACAGCATAGTTCCCTGTCGGCATAAATCTGTAACACAGGTAACCCCCAGTTCCCTCCACTTTTTGTAAGGACAACCATGGAGACACCGAATTTAGGGCTGTGATAGGTACACAAGGAGAGAACTTAATGTTATCCATGCTTGAGCGGTGGAGATGGTCCCAGGCTTGTATGACGTATCTAGTAAGTGGAAGTAATGGTTTGTGCTTGTCTCTAAGATGTTTAGGTGTCCACATGTAGTCTATTGCTGAGCTCTCGGGGTCATACTCATTTTCAATATCTACCCATTGTAGTGTTTGTTTTGGGGCATGAAGCTTTATAGCATTTTCTAGTAGTGCTGCTCTTTGGTATGTTGCTACGTTGGGGAATCCCATTTCTCCCTCTTTACTGGGAGACTGTATAAGAGCTAGAGGTAATCTGAGCTTCTTTTTTTCTCAGATGTAAGTTGTTAGTATAGTTTGGATTTATTTGTGCAGTGTAGGTGAGAGAGGTATCGGCAACATTCGGAATATATAGAGCAGTTTCGGCAATACCATCATTTTGACGGCATTAATCCGTCCCAGCCAGGATATCATAATGTCTTTCCATTTATGTAGGGTTTGTTTACACATTTGTGGTAAAGTGGAAAAATAACATGCGCTGATCCCTCTAAATGTGCCTGTGCTTTTAACCTCTAGATCTGTGAGATACGTTTGCCTCCAGTTGAATGTGTACTTGCGTTTTAGCGTTGTAACCTCCGTTGTGGGGAGACATATGGGTAGTGCTTGGGTTTTCGTTTGATTGAGCGTGTAATAGGAAATACTGCTGTAATCATCCAGGGTGTGTAGGAGATGTGTTAATGAATGATCTGGTTGTGTCATGGAGATAAGAATGTCATCTGCAAACATCGACAATTTGTGTTCTGTGTTATTGATGCTAATGCCTTTTATACCTGTGTGTGTTTGGATTTTATGCGCCAATGGTTCCATGGATAATACAAATAATAGGGGAGAGAGAGGGCATCCTTGGCGCGTGCCATTAGTGATGGGGAAAGGGTTTGAAATTAAGCCTGCATTTGAGACTTTGGCGGTTGGTTTAGAGTATAGTGCCATTATGCCTTTTATATATTCCCTAGGAAATCCGAATTTGATCAGTACTGGTCCATGTAATCCCAATTAAGTCTATCGAAGGCCTTCTCCGCGTCTAGCACTAGGAGAAGGCCTTCCATATTGTGTGTTGGAACCTCTCATACTTTTAAAGTGACTACCCAACTGTCCAAAGGTTGCTGCTGTTGCCGCTGTTCTTCTGACTTCATATTTCCACTTTGAATTTTTGAGAGTAGCGCTACAGTGCAACTTTAGGGTTAAACAATTTGAGAACAGTTTAACTCCTTGAGGTAAGAGTACACCCGAGGGCCTCCTGCCACCATAACAACTTAAATTATATGAAGTTGTTATGGTGTCTAAAAGGGCTCCCTTTGACAGACAGTAATACACAAACAGACAGACACGCATATACAGATTCAGGCATAGGCTTACACAAAGACACAGACATACAGAGACACATAGAGTTAGGTACACACAGACAAACAGGCACACTATAAAAAGAAAAAACATTCGTTCTCCCAACCTGAAAGCAGGGCTAGCGGCTACTAGCCTCTCCTTCTATGTCACATACAGAGTGAGAGAAAGGAGACAGCAAGCCGCCGGGCCCAGTATTGCAGCACCCATCTTCTGTGCTACTTCAACTTGCTCAGATACCTCGTTAACACTCGGCCGGCACACTGTGCGTTTCCATGTTTTAGTGCGTGGCTTCTGCTCCAAAGGACTGGGTGCAACCAGGATAGCATGTCAATGCTCCTGGTACCGGCATCCTTCCCAACACACAACTGTCAGTAACTTAATTATTTAGCATGTTGTTGAATCAGCAATATAATAACAGTAATGGGGCCCCCAGGATGCCAAGGGCCACCATTAATAGGCTGGGGGCAGTGTATTGAATTAGGGGGAAGGCAGTGTATTAAATTGGAAGGAGGGGGGCAGTGTATTAAATTGTTGGGAAGGAGGACAGTGCATTAAATTGGGAGGAGTGATGCAGAGGGACACACACACTCTCACTAAAAAACACACACACTAACACACAATGTAGTTTTATTATTTGCTTTTTTTGGTTGATTTCTTCCCTGGGGTCCAGTAGGGCTGGCAGGACAATGCAGGTGATCTGGCAGGTGCACAGTTCAGACGGGGGCTAGGGAACTCTGACCCTCCCGCTCAGCTCACTCGTGTGCCTCTTAGTGATGCCCGGAGCCTGAGTGACTTCATATTCCAGCTCCGGCATCACTGCAGTGCACGCAAGAGAGCTGAACAGGGAAGAGCTCAAGGGAGAGCTCTCCCTTGTGCCCACCTCTCAAATCAGGGGATGCCTGCATTAGGAGGGGAAGGGGGCCTTAAGTTGGCCAGCTGGCCAGCTCCTGGGCCACCCAGGACAAGAGGCTGACATGGCATGTGCCGGGGCATTACTTTCAGGGGGCGGCAAAAAAAGCCGCCCCCCTGAAAGTGACGCCCAAGGCAAATGCCTTGTCAGCCTCGCGGTAAATACACCACTGCCTGAGACTAATCACGAATGGGCTGTGCTTATACGCTGTCTCCAGCATGTGTTTTATAAAGACGGAAATAAAGCTGATGCTGATTTAACACAGTTGACCGGTTGAGGAGTCCGATCCCTCCAGAGCTGTTTAGTGAGAGTGGCACATGAACCACTCATTCTTTGTGAGTTGCCATTTACGAGATTTTCATTCCATTTACTGCATATAGTTTGTGCACATATGGTCTGCACTATATTGTGCTATTTTTTTTTAAGGTTATATCCAGAAAATTGGATTGAGGGGGGCTGGATACCATTATCCTTTTATATTCGTATGTTAGTTACTTACACCAGTTGCCAAAGGTGGTAGTGAAACCCTGGAAAACAGTTTGCATCTCTTAAGCATGCACAGATCTTTGTGAATGTTCCACTATGCTGCGCAGGTCATACCAACAGAAGTTGCAGAGATATTTGAAGTCACAGTCTGCAACTGCGAGAGTCTTTATCTGTCAAACCCGTATATTGGATGTTCTGCACGAGTAGGACCATGAACACTGAGATCTGTGGACTATATGTGCACTAAAGGACCGTATCTTCAGAAGGATATTGATACTTTGAAGAGAGGTCAGAGAAGGGCTACTAAACTGGTTCATGGATTGCAGGATAAAACTTACAAGGAAAGGTTATGTATAGCTTGGCGGAAAGACTAGACAGGGAAGATATGATAGAAACATTTAAATACATAAAGGGAATCAACACAGTAAATGAGGAGACTATACAGGGAGTGCAGAATTATTAGGCAAATGAGTATTTTGACCACATCATCCTCTTTATGCATGTTGTCTTACTCCAAGCTGTATAGGCTCGAAAGCCTACTACCAATTAAGCATATTAGGTGATGTGCATCTCTGTAATGAGAAGGGGTGTGGTCTAATGACATCAACACCCTATATCAGGTGTACATAATTATTAGGCAACTTCCTTTCCTTTGGCAAAATGGGTCAAAAGAAGGACTTGACAGGCTCAGAAAAGTCAAAAATAGTGAGATATCTTGCAGAGGGATGCAGCACTCTTAAAATTGCAAAGCTTCTGAAGCGTGATCATCGAACAATCAAGCGTTTCATTCAAATAGTCAACAGGGTCGCAAGAAGCGTGTGGAAAAACCAAGGCGCAAAATAACTGCCCATGAACTGAAAAAAGTCAAGCGTGCAGCTGCCACGATGCCACTTGCCACCAGTTTGGCCATATTTCAGAGCTGCAACATCACTGGAGTGCCCAAAAGCACAAGGTGTGCAATACTCAGAGACATGGCCAAGGTAAGAAAGGCTGAAAGACGACTACCACTGAACAAGACACACAAGCTGAAACGTCAAGACTGGGCCAAGAAATATCTCAAGACTGATTTTTCTAAGGTTTATGGACTGATGAAATGAGAGTGAGTCTTGATGGGCCAGATGGATGGGCCCGTGGCTGGATTGGTAAAGGGCAGAGAGCTCCAGTCCGACTCAGACGCCAGCAAGGTGGAGGTGGAGTACTGGTTTGGGCTGGTATCATCAAAGATGAGCTTGTAGGGCCTTTTTGGGTTGAGGATGGAGTCAAGCTCAACTCCCAGTCCTACTGCCAGTTCCTGGAAGACACCTTCTTCAAGCAGTGGTACAGGAAGAAATCTGCATCCTTCAAGAAAAACATGATTTTCATGCAGGACAATGCTCCATCACACGCGTCCAAGTACTCCACAGCGTGGCTGGCAAGAAAGGGTATAAAAGAAGAAAATCTAATGACATAGCCTCCTTGTTCACCTGATCTGAACCCATTGAGAACCTGTGGTCCATCATCAAATGTGAGATTTACAAGGAGGGAAAACAGTACACCTCTCTGAACAGTGTCTGGGAGGCTGTGGTTGCTGCTGCACGCAATGTTGATGGTGAACAGATCAAAACACTGACAGAATCCATGGATGGCAGGCTTTTGAGTGTCCTTGCAAAGAAAGGTGGCTATATTGGTCACTGATTTGTTTTTGTTTTGTTTTTGAATATCAGAAATGTATATTTGTGAATGTTGAGATGTTATATTGGTTTCACTGGTAGTAATAAATAATTGAAATGGGTATATATTTGTTTTTTGTTAAGTTGCCTAATAATTATGCACAGTAATAGTCACCTGCACACACAGATATCCCCCTAACATAGCTATATCTAAAAACAAACTAGAAACTACTTCCAAAAATATTCAGCTTTGATATTAATGAGTTTTTTGGGTTCATTGAGAACATGGTTGTTGTTCAATAATAAAATTAATCCTCAAAAATACAACTTGCCTAATAATTCTGCACTCCCTGTATTTAAAGGAAGAAAAACTGCCACAACAAGAGGATATAGTCTTAAATTAGAGGGGCAAAGGTTTAAAAATATCAGGAAGTATTACTTTACTGAGAGGGTAGTGGCTGCATGGAATAGCCTTCCAGCTGAAGTGGTAGAAGTTAACACAGTGAAGGAGTTTAAGCCTGTGGGATAGGCATAAGGCTATCCTAACTATAAGATAAGGCTAGTGACTAATAAGAGTATTTAGAAAATTGGACAGACTAGATGGGCTGAATGGTTCTTATCTGCTGTCACATTCTATGTTTCTATTTTTCTATTTCCCTGCATTTGCCCCACAGTGCACACTCCCTTTCTATTCCCCCATCCCTGGCAATATGTAAGCCAGTGGGAGGGGTGAATAGATTAGTTTTGTATGCCACCTTCGCACACACTTTATAAGCAGTCCCAATCTACTAACACTGCAAAGAGTTCTTATCCAGACATTCACTTCACCAAAAAGAGTTCCTATCCAAACACACACTCCAATTATCCAAATCTACACTACTATTCCACAAATAGCCATTAGCAAACAAACACACACACACTACAACACAAACAGCCTCTTTCACACACTGCACTGCTAATAGCCCATATCCAAACACACAATGCTCTACAACCAGCACCTATTAGCACACACAATACACCACTAATGCTAGCCGAGCACATACAATACACCACAAGCAGCCCCTATCCACACATACAATACACCACAAAGTTCCTATCCACACCTACAATACACTGCAAACAGCTTCCTCCACACACACATACCATACTAAAGAAATTCTTCCCATTACATACAACACCACAAGTAGCTAACCGTGGTATCCATAGGGGCACATGCAGCGCCCCATCAAACAATTGTTATAATAATAAAAAATAAAAAAACTATTGCCAATGGTAACAAAGTGAATTACTGACATTGCTTCCCTTTGGGAAATAGTTAACTTGCATATTTCCAATATAAATGGTAAACTTATACCACAGAAGTCTGAAGTATTATACTTTCCACTCTTGTTCTTCCACGGGAGCAGCACAAACTCGCTCATTGGTATTGAGCTGAAACGTAGACTTTTTAGCATGATATAAATAAGAGCTACGTTTTATATATAACATGTATTAAGTCCATGGAGTGCAATCCACTGTTGTTTTGTTATTGTTCTGACAGATTTGCACCTGGCATTAGTTTATATTTTTTCCTGGAGTGCAAGCTACCGAATACTCGATTCACACACACACACACACACACACATACAAACCTACAAATGAATACATGTGCATACATACATGTACACATCATTACGTTAAAATGTAATCATTAAAAATGTAAATAAACATGCTCGGAATTTACTAGACCAGTGTTTGAATGAATAGATTATGAAGGGGGGCAGTCGATTTAATTTTGGCAGATGGTCTACAAGATGAAGACCTATGTAGTTTAACGTGATAATCGTCTGTGCATGGAACTTTTCAATGTTACACCAATACTTACAGTACATGTAATTATTAATCATTTGCCAGATTGCAGTTGACTGTCAAACCTTTCAGTTTTAACAACAAAAGCTTGCTTTATCCTCCCTCTTGCTTGGTCCATTCCCTACCCCCACTACCAGTAAATATACTTATCTGTCTTTTTCTGTTTAGTCCTGCTCAGAGGTCTACCATCCAAGAGACGACTTAAAGGACCACTATAGTGCCAGGAAAACATACTCGTTTTCCTGGCACTATAGTGCCCTGAGGGTGCCCCCACCCTCAGGGACCCCCTCCCGCCTGGCTCTGGGGAGAGGAAAGGGATTAAAACTTACCTTTCTCCAGCGCTGGGTGGGGAGCTCTCCTCCTCCGATCCTCCTCCGTTCCTCCCAATCGGCTGAATGCGCACGCGCGGCAAGAGCTGCGCGCGCATTCAGCCAGTCTCATAGGAAAGCATTAACAATGCTTTCCTATGGACGCTCAATGAGACAGCCACTAGAGGATTTGAGGGCTGGATTAACCCATTTATAAACATAGCAGTTTCTCTGAAATTGCTATGTTTATAAAAAAAATGGGTTAACCCTAGCTGGACCTGGCACCCAGACCACTTCATTAAGCTGAAGTGGTCTGGGTGCCTAGAGTGGTCCTTTAACAGAAAAAAAGATACACTTAATTTCACTAAGCATGAAAAAGTCCCATAACTGAAACTCAAAAGTATCTAACATTGCACATAATCACTATGTAATACATTGCTATCTCCAGCCAATGAAAATCACAGGATAAATACAAAACACACTCTCATAGCAATCACAACTTTCCAGACATTTTTACTGGAATGTTGTGGTTGCTATTACAGAAATCTAGATTGTATGCTTTACCTGCGAGTGTGGTTTCTATGTATGGTAGGAATCTTTGCAAGCAGATGTTATTAGTGGCTAGCAGGTAAAAAACAAATACTGACAAGAAAATAGTAACCAAAATTAAATGCTGCCTGTTGTTAATGGCTACAGCCTGCCACTGCTATTTACCAACAATTGCATCTATTAAATATTTTTGGAGAAGCATTTTAAATTATTTATTTTTTGGGATACATTTTTAAATGATTTAATATTTTGAAAATTATTTTAATATTTTGATAGTTTTTGATATATTAACATCTCTTTTTATAAATGACATATTTTTTGAGAATTTAATATTTTTTGGGGAAAAAACATTTTATAAGTTTGTATAAAATTATTAAATCATTCAAAAAAATATTAAATTGAATCTAAGGTTGAAAACAAGCCCAATGTATGGTAAATCCGATGTGGAATATGTCATTGAATTTTAACTTTTCAAAAAGATCTATCCTTTATCCTTTAAATTCTCAAAATTATATAAAATAACAAAATAATCTTGCCTATGTTTTTAAATCACCATTTTTCTGGCTGTCAGTATATTTTTCATTAGGATCAGAGCAGCATATTATTTAGATTTATAATTGTCTCGTAATGTATGGATTGTTTTTATAATAATATTTTCTATGGCTTGATGACCATAATGTCTATATGTTTATTATCTCATTTTACATAGTACATATATCTACATTGTTGTGGATGGATGAAAACGTTTTCAGTTTTTTTTTCTGTACCCTTTTCCCAAGTTTATTTCCCCCAGGAGATTTATTTCATTATAGTTTGAAAAATGTTCAATAAAAATAATTTGAAAAGAAATGAAATGATGTTGCTGATAACATACATTTATGAATGAAATTACTATTTAGAAGGGACATATAATAACATTACTTTTCCCAAATCCTACTAATCACCTTCTAATTGAATAATATCCTCTGTGTGAGATTAATTGGTGCGTTTATCCCATAAACCTATAGCTTTTCTGACTGAATATATATGGTGCTAGTAACACATATAATCATTATACACTCACAATCACAGACATACATACACACACACACAGTCACAGACACACATAATTACAAACATACCGACACACAGTCATAGACACATTCATGTACACACAATGTTTTATTTATTTAGAGGTCTACCATCAGCTTCTCTACATGTGCCTTGGAGAGCTGGAGTGGATCCTCTCTCTGGTGGCCAGTGGGGCTGCTGGGGTCACTGCATTCTTCCTATACAGCGCTCATGTGCTCCCTGCAATGGTGCTACATTACAGGCCATGCAAGGGAGCTGAGCAGGAAGAGCCCAGTAGGTTCCGTCGCTGCCCGTACTCTCTCCCTACCCCCACCCAAGACCAGACATTAATAAATTGGGGCATACTACGCACCTGTCGTGTGGGTAGACAGGTACCTATTCTGCCGAGTGAGAGTGGCTGCCTGTATAGGAAAAGCCACAAGCGGCGGTCATGCCCTGAGCTCTTGCTACCGAATGGAAGCACCGGCCCTGAATCTACCTGCCACTCTGTTAGTAATCCCAACCCCATATAGGAACACCTCTATAAATCTTAATTCACCTGCTATTTAGCTACCCTGCTTAGACAATTCATCCTTTCCTTCTATTAGTTCCAGAATAAAATTTATGGCCTTAATCCAAACATGCAAAGGCCATCACTTACAATTTCTTTATTTCTGCTTCAATTAACTCCTAAATATGACAACCAAGCTGTCCCAAAATTGAAACCTATATCATATACTTTTACTTAAAACGGGGGATGTAGGGAGGCAGCGCTTAACAATTTAATTCCTTGTGTGGGGTCCAATGGAGCCAATATAAGGGAGAAAACAAACTTTTACTGAAGATGGTAATATTACATGATTTAGAGCAGGAATAGTTAACAGTTAGCGTTTGAGCTGAGCTATGTCCCCTGGGAACTTTACCAATGATATATCTAAACAGTTTCTGGCTGAACATTTTAGGAGTGGAATTTCAATAGAAAGCCAAAGAGCCATTTTTTAGTTATCCCTTACTTAGATGTTTTCATAGAGTATAAACATAGCTGTGACTTTATAAAAGTTACTCCAAAGAAACGTTTTACTTGAAATTACATTTTATTAGTTGTTTCATTGTGAACATGCAGTTTTAAGTGCGAGTACATTTAGTTGTGATATTCGTGGCTCAGACCATCCACAACAACTGCAAAGAATTTCTCAACAGCAGCCTGGACTGGTGGACTGAAGGAGGATCCTAATTTTCCAGCCAGAACAATCACGAACACTTCACCAAAACGCTGCAAAAGAAAGAAAATTCATTAATATTCTTTCATTTTGAATAGAATTTCACTGAAATGTTAGTTTTAATAAGTAAAATTAATTAGGCAACTGAACCTTAACTTCAAAATGTGTAAAAAACAAACAAACAAAAAAAAAAACGGGATATGATAGCATAACATTTATCAAAAATATTTTAATTATATCACAGTGATAAAAATTATTTGGGTAAATATGACCTACTTACAATGCTATCTTCAGTTAATATTTTTTTGACAACTGTCATCAAATTTTCTCTTCTTTTAAAATTTTTGCAAGTGTTCCTTTTTAGTACATTCATTTTTTTTTTAAATTTATGTATATTGATTTTTTTTTAAATAAAGTTTTTTTATCTGGCTGAGTAGAAATGTTTGCTCAGATTCTACTGTTATCTGACCAACTGCTGCTCAACCAAACTTACCTGCTGTGAACCAGCAGGTAATTAACAGTAAAATCTGATCCCACCTGGCTGCTCGTCCAGACAAAAAAATTTATATATATTTTCTCAAAAACATAAAAAATATACAGATTTAAAAAAATTTGATGAAAAGTTTCATTAAATTTAATAAACATTTCAAAAAAGTGAAAATGTGATGACAGTTGTCCTTTAATATTTTAATTAGGAAATGCATTGGATTTTAATTAATTACACTAACCGTGTATCCCTTAATTAGTTTAAAAAATTTTTAACAAAGCTTGTAGGGCCTAAATGAAATGAGAAAGTGCAACTCCTCACCCACTAATGAACTAAAACTCCCCATGATGTTGAGGTTGGCCAGACAACATGGAAGCTGAAGTTTTAGAATTTTACAAGAAATTCCTCAAATGTAAATTGGACACCACTATTCATCTAAAATGTTATCCACTTTAATTTGGCCAGTGGGAGAGAATAACTGTTCATAACTACTAAACTATGTCTTATTTAAGAATGACCATAGTTATATAGAATATAATAATAATAATATTAAATACATACCCTGAAGTTTTCTGGATCCACATGCAGACGGTGGGCATGGATGTCACTGAGGTCGTGGAGAGTGGCCTTAACGGTATCCAAGTGGTGGGCGGCGTTGTCCAGAGCTCCCAGGACCTTCTTGCCGTGGGCCTGTACCTTGGCATTTCCAGCAATTGCAGCTGCGTTGGACAGGCTTCCGAAAGAACTGAAATACCTCTGGGTCCAGGGGTAGACCAGGAGCAGCCTATTAAGTGAGAAACCCAATTTAAAAAATATGCTAAATATATAAAATAAAATGAAATAATATAGTTTGGGGAAGGGAAAGCCAAGGAAAACATTGCAAAGGAAGTGGAAAAAACTGAAACATTGTTTCATTTTCTGTTTGCTTTTTCTATGCTGACTGCCAGGTGCCAAGGGCACAGATTATAGCAATGACTAACAAGGAGCTAAGATGGAGGCACCCAGTTGCAGTATAAAGAAGTGTAGATTTCTATATCTATTTTATATTTTTACACCTCACAAATACATAATTGTAAAATATAGGCATTAGTAGACATAATCAGGGTTATTTGATAACATGAGAAATAAAATTGAATTTCAATTATAAGGTCAAAATAACAAAACTAGAAGCACGGGTTAGAAAATATTTACAGTTTGTCTTTTCTCACCTTTAAATCCACTTTAAATTCCCTGAATAATTAAAATTGCTGGGAATTGAGGGTCCCTCTTTAAATCTTAAATTTAAAAAAAAAATAGTAAAATGCTAACCTAGAGAATGTCCCTCAAAATTCCTAGAGATCTACTTTGAAATCATGTTAAAGGTACATTTTATAGATAAGTCCACAAGAATATCACGATTAAATGCTGAGATTAGTCAATTGTATTGTTTAATCAGCACATTATAGCAGGGATATTGACTAAACCGTGAGTGAGAGATTTTATGTTAAAATGTTCGAATTACCTTCCTAGGGCATCTCCACCATCATGCTCAAGATCAACTTTCTTCCATACGGCGTTGATAGCGGCCTTCTCTTCGGCTGTCCAGTGAACCATGGTGGCTGTTAGAGGGATGAGTAGCTGTGGCTTCAGATAGGAGAAGTAAAAGGTACTGAGACACCACGATTTACCCCCAAGATTTTATAGAAAAATAAACAGAATGGAACGCCTATCGTAATTTGCTTTGTCACACTTTTTTTTCCTGCATTTGACACTTTGAGTCCTAACAGATAAGAGGAACAATATGACTGACATCGCTATTCAGAATTGTATCTGGCTCAATTTGAGTCTTCCATTGGATATAATTATGCTGATCTCGTGAGTTTGTAAAACAAGATTCACAGAAGCAGAAAGCAGATAAGAAAATAGAACTCAGTTATAATAGGTAGTATAACATTTTCATTGGTGTGACCGAGTTCATTTTCTAGCTTTAGAGTATACATTTTTAAAAACAGAATGCTATTCAGTGGCTGTTAAGAAACAAATTGAGTAAGAAATATTGGGTGATGCATGTAGAAGCAAAACTGTATCATTGAACAAAAATATTAACAAATGTTAACAAAAATATATATATACTAATTCTCATTTGGCTTACTTTACAAGGAACCCAAGACAACATCTTCCATTTTTTATGAACTAATTTCAATCACATATGTGTTGGTTTACAGCATTGGCAGATCTGGGCGGTGGGTGCACCATGGTAAATGCTCCCCTACAAAGCTCCCCCATTAGCAGGAAGCTAATTGAAGGGTAACCTAATCTCTGTCCCCAGATGCCTGCATCCAAGTTATTAAAAATGCCAGGGTAACCATTTCTTTATATATGCTGCACATGCAGGTGAAAGGAGGCATTTAATTGATTTGTTAGACAGGAAGGAGGGCATAATTGTCAGTGCCAAAGCAGAAGCGGCATGCCAAGAACGATCAGCAGGACCGTAACCTTTCCAAACAACCAAGTACTGTAAAGTCCCCCGAGAAAACCTAGAATCCACGATAGAAGATACCTCATACTCTTCCTGACCACCCACCACCACCGGAGGGGGAGGAACACAAGGAACAGTATATCTATTGCAGACAAGAGGTTTGAGTAAGGACACATGAAAAGTGTTGGGAATCCCTAAAGATGCAGGAAGAGCCAGAGAGTAAGACACTGGATTGATCCTACGAAGCACTCTATAGGGACCAAGGAATCTGGGGGCAAACTTCATGCTAAGGACCTTAAGCTTGATGTTGCGAGATGACAACCAAACCCGGTCCCCCACTTGGTACTGAGCAGGCTGAGAACTGGGCCTAAATACCCCTCCTTTAGTTCTGATAGGCTGTAACCGGCCTTTGACCCCAAAGTCAGTTACCAGGTTTAATTTGCATAATTGCTGCTCAGCATTAACCCTTCTGTGGATTAGGTTGCTGCTCGGCACAACTTTTCCTGTGTGGACAGTAAATGTCATTAACCACTTTTCTATAAGCGGATGAATACATGACACCAGGTTTCATTTGCACAATTACTGCTCAGCATTAAACCTTCTGTGGATTAGGTTGCTGCTCGGCACAACTTTTCCTGTGTGGACAGTAAATGTCATTAACCACATTTCTATAAGCGGATGAATACGTGACACTTGGACCTTTTCGTGTCCTTCGTAGGATCAATCCTGTTGCATACTCTCTGGCCCTTCCGGCCTCCTTGAAAATTCCTAATACCTTTCATGTGTCCTTGCTCAAACCTCTTGTTTGAAATAAATATACTGTCTCAAGTGTCCCTCCTCCTTCCTTCCGGCCATTCTAAGGTCCGGTATACGTTCCCTATCAGTCCTCTGTGTTACTCAGTTCTACGTGCTGGATCATTCTGTAATCCTGACAAAAGACTGTTTAGGTGTACTAGCTGATAATATTTCATATCTGAGAAATTGTCTGATTTTGTGCCATATCAATATGGGAGTTGGGCATCCAGATTTTTTCCAGTGACATGCTGTCACATTCCTTGTGGCCAGGATTGTCATCACTAGTATGTGGTTGTCAGCATGGGGTAGAGTGCCCAGGAGTAATAGAAAAAGAGCAAATTTAGGGGTTTTCAGTTGTTCCCATATTTTTGAATGTGTCTCTTCCCACAATGGTTTTATATCTGGGCAGTCCCACCATATATGAGTCATTGTTCCTCTATCTCTGTCGCATCTCCAACAGGTAGGTGGGGTCTGGGGGTATATTTTGTGAATTTTGTCAGGTGTATAATACAATCTGTAGACAAGCTTTTATGGGCTTCAACATGGGAATGGCAAGTTGTGATGCCTTTTAGGGCATGGAGCGAGGTCAACCATTGTTTGTCTGTGGGATATTGAGTGCATTCTCCCTTCCATTGTGCTTGATACTTATATTCTGGGTGTGTTATTTGATTTTTTTTGTGTGGTATAACATACTGTGAGGGTTTTATTTTTGACCGGTGTATTATAACACCGATTGTATATGAGTATGTGGTGGTGGTCATATGCACCTGTTTCCGATTGAGTGTGCGCCACTTTGTTGGAAATTAAACTCTTCAGTTGGAATGATGAGGGTAGATGATATTTTGTTTGCAGTTCCAGGAACGGTAGCATAGTTCCCTGTCGGCATAAATCTGTAACACAGGTAACCCTCAGTTCCCTCCACTTTTGTAAGGACAACCATGGAGACACTGAATTTAGGGCTGTGATAGGTATCCAAGGAGAGAACTTAATGTTATCCATGCTTGAGCAGTGGAGATGGTCCCAGGCTTGTATGACGTATCTAGTAAGTGGAAGTAATGGTTTGTGCTTGTCTCTAAGATGTTTAGGTGTCCTCATTTTCATATCTACCCATTGTAGTGTGTGTTTTGGGGCATGACGCTTTATAGCATTTTCTAGTAGTGCTGCTCTTTGGTATGTTGCCCTCTTTACTGGGAGACTGTAAAAGAGCTAGAGGCAATCTGGGCTTCTTTTTTTCCCAGATGTAAGTTGTTAGTATAGTTTGGATTTATTTGTGAAGTGTAGGTGAGAGAGGTATTGGCAACATTCAGAATATATAGAGCAGTTTCGGCAATACCATCATTTTGACGGCATTAATCCGTCCCAGCCAGGATATCATAATGTCTTTCCATTTATGTAGGGTTTGTATACACATTAGTGGTGAAGTGGAGAAATTACATGCGCTGATCCCTCTAAATATGCCTGTGATTTTAACCTCTAGATATGTGAGATACGTTTGCCTCCAGTCGAATGTGTACTTACATTTTAGCGTTGTAACCTCCGTTGTGGGAAGACATATGGGTAGTGCTTGGGTTTTCGTTTGATTGAGCGTGTAATAGGAAATACTGCTGTAATCATCCAGGGTGTGTAGGAGATGTGTTAATGAGAGATCTGGTTGTGTCATGGAGATAAGAATGTCATCTGCAAACATCGACAATTTGTATTCTGTGTTATTGATGCTAATGCCTTTTATACCTGTGTGTGTTCGGATTTTATGCGCCAATGGTTCGATAAATAATACGAATTATAGGGGAGAGAGAGGGCATACCTGGCGCTTGCCATTAGTGATGGCGAAAGGGTTCGAAATTAAGCCTGTATTTGAGACTTTGGCGGTTGGTTTAGAGTATAGTGCTATTATGCCTTTTATATATTCCCTAGGAAATCCGAATTTGACCAGTACCTGGTCCATGTAATCCCAATTAAGTCTATCGAAGGCCTTCTCCGCGTCTAGCACTAGGAGAAGGCCTTTCATATTGTGTGTTGGAACCTCTCATACTTTTAAAGTGACTACCCAACTGACTACCTAACTGTCCAAAGGCGGCTGCTGCTGCCGCTGCCGCTGTTCTTCTGCCTTCATATTTTCCCCTTTGAATTTTTGAGAGTAGTGCTACAGTACAACTTTAGGGTTAAACAATTTGAGAACAGTTTAACTCCTTGAGGTAAGAGTACACCCGAGGGCCTCCTGCCACCATAACAACTTAAATTATATGAAGTTGTTATGGTGTCTAAAAGGGCTCCCTTTGACAGACAGTAATACACAAACAGACAGACAAGCATATACAGATTCAGGCATAGGCTTACACAAAGTCACAGACATACAGAGACACATAGAGTTAGGTACACACAGCCAAACAGGCACACTATAAAAAAAAAAACATTAATTCTCCCAACCTGAAAGCAGGGCCAGCGGCTACTAGCCTCTCCTTCTATGTCACATACAGAGTGAGGGAAAGGAGACAGCAAGCCGCCGGGCCCAGTATTGCAGCACCCTTCTTTTGTGCTACTTCGACTTGCTCAGATACCTCGTTAACACTCGGCCGGCACACTGTGCGTTTCCATGTTTTAGTGCGTGGCTTCTGCTCCAAAGGACTGGGTGCAACCAGGACAGCATGCCAATGCTCCTGGTACCGACATCCTTCCCAACACACAACTGTCAGCAATATAATAACAGTAATGGGGCCCCCAGGCTGCCAAGGGCCACCATTTATAGGCGGGGGGCAGTGTATTGAATTAGGGGGAAGGCAGTGTATTAAATTGGAAGGAGGGGGGCAGTGTATTAAATTGTTGGGAGGGGCGACAGTGTATTGAATAGGAGGAGGGAGGGCAGAGTATTAAATTGTGGGAAGGGGGAAGTGCATTAAATTGGGAGGAGTGAGGCAGAGGGAAACACACTCGCACTAAAAAACACAAACACTAACACACAATGTAGTTGTATTATTTGCTTTTTTTGGTTGATTTCTTCCCTGGGGTCCAGTGGGGCTGGCAGGACAATGCAGGTGATCTGGCAGGTGCACAGTTCAGACGGGGAGCTAGGGAGCTCTGACCCTCCCGCTCAGCTCCCTCGCGTGCCTCTTAGTGATGCCCGGAGCCTGAGTGACTTCATATTCCAGCTCCGGCATCACTGCAGTGCAGTCGAGAGAGCTGAACAGGGAAAATCTCAGGGGAGAGCTCTCCCTTGCGCCCACCTCCCAAATCAGGGGATGCCTGCATTATGAGGGGAAGGGGGCCTTAAGTTGGCCAGCTGGCCAGCTCCTGGGCCTCCCAGGACAAGAGGCTCACAGGGGCATTTGAGGGGGTGGCTTTT